TGAGGGTGCCGGAGCCCTGGCCCAGGCTGCCCAGAGGGGCTGTGGAGTCTCCTTCTCTGGAGATATTCCAGCCCCGTCTGGCCGCGGTGCTGTGCCCCCTGCTCTGGGTGACCCTGCTTGGGCAGGGGGTTGGGCTGGGTGACCCACAGAGGTCCCTGCCCACCCCGAGCATTCTGTGATTCTGTGAGGTGGGCAAGGAAGCTGTAAATCCCCTTCCCCTCACTTATAGGACGCCCTGGTACTTCCAGCAATGTGCTTGTGGCCACACGGCTGCGTTTGTCGGCCACTGTCCTCCAGCTTTTCCACGTTGTGGCAGTGCCCTGTGAGGAATCTGTCTTCTGCTCTTCACCCTCCCTCTCCCACCAGAGCTGCCTTCTCCATCACCAAAACTCCCAACCAAGCCAAATGTGGATGGGAAACCTGGGGCTGCTGCACAGGGGAGGCAGCGCTGGGAATGTCTCAGAGCCTCCAAACCTGCTGGAGTCCTAAGAAGGACTGTGATGCCCATTTCCATGGGGGGACAGCCCTGCTGAGTCAGGTGGGGAAACGAGGAGGAGAGCTGGACTCAGAAGGTTTTGCAGACCCCATTTTAGCCACAGATCTACCAAAGGCCAAGCCTGGGCTGTCTCCTCAACCCTTTGACTTGTGCCTTGCAGAGGTCCAGAGTAGAGGGAGGTAAAGTCCCCCTTGCTGCTCTGCTCACCCTCCCTGGGCTGATCTGTGCTCATGTAGAGATCCCCCTCATGTTCTTGCCCTTGTCATCCATCAGATAAGATCCCTGTGAGCAGTTCCCTGCGGTCTCGCTGCCTGACCCTGGTTTCTGGCAGCATCACCCCATTCCCTCCTTCCCCAGTGCCTCACCTCCTTGTCTCCCTTCCTCCTGCCAGGTACGAGCTTAGAGTGATAGTGTGGAACACAGACGAGGTCATCCTGGAGGACGATGACTACTTCACCGGCGAGAAATCCAGTGACATTTTTGTCAGGGGGTAGGTACAGCGCGGGATGCCAGTGCCACCTCCTCTACTTCCACCCAGGCGGGGGGTGCCAGGGCTTGCTGGGGTTCCCGGGGGGGTGTTGGAGCGGGGTGGGGGGTACATCATGGACTGTGGTGCAGGGGCCGATAGTGTCAACACTGGCATT